TTTTTTTTTTTTTTTTTTTTTTTTTTTTTGAGACAAAGCCTTACTAAATCTCCCAGGCTGATCTTGAACTCACAATCTTCCTGCCTCAGGTTCCTGAATAGCTGGGATCACAGGCGTGTTGTCACCACCGCACCTTGGTAAGTGTGCACTCCTTCAACTGACATTCAGATGGGCCAGGATTCTGCCCCTACTGCTGTCATAGACCCCTCTGATGTGGTGCCTCCCCCTTTCTCTGCCACTCCAGCTCCAGCCTCACTTCCAGCCCAGAGTACCTGTGCCCTCACTTTCCTTTGCCTTAGTCCTGGGCTGGGGTGGCCTGGTTGAGCCTGTCCCAACCTGTGGAGACCCTCGGAAAGTGTCCTGCTGTACCTGCAAATAGTTTCAGTGGCCCTCTGCTCCTGGGTGCTCCCTACTTCGGCTTCCAAGCTAGGAGAGGTGCCTGGCTGCAAGAAGCCTGTGTCTGCTCTGGGTGCTCTGTTTTATCAGCTGGCATCACTCACCCTGACTACTCTCGGCTCACTGGAAGTAGAACTGAGAGAAGCATTCACCTGTTGGGTCATGAGCTTCTCAAATTCCTCCACTATCTCCGGCAGGCTGAGCCACTGGACTCCAGGCAGCAGCCCCAGGGCTTGGCTGCCCATCTTCAGCAGCAGCAGGTCCACCTGCACCTGGGACAACAGGTCCGGGTGCAGCACCTGCAGGGAGGGGGTCAGGAGCCAGTGCTGGCAAAGGGGCCAGGTGCCCTGGGGGATGGTCCCTCCACCCAGGAAGCCAATTCCAACCCTTCCCTCCTCACTACTTCAGATCAGACAATTCACACCACCATTCCCCAAAGCTGAGAAAACAGCTTGCACATAGCAAATACCAAGCAAGATGACAGAACACAGGTTGAGCAGCCCTAACCCAAACATCGGAAATCCAAAATGCTCTGAATTTTTTTTGCCTGGGGGGCGGGGGGCTGGGGATTGAACCCAGGGCTTTTGCACTGAGCTACATTCCCAGCCCTTTTTTTGAGATAAGGTCTCAAGAAAGTCACTAAGCTGCCCCAACTGGGTTCAAACTTCCAACCTCCTGTCTCAGCCTCCCAGAGTGCTAGGACTACAGACATGCACCACCACACCCAGTCAAAGTTTTAAAACTTTTAAATACGGTACTGAATTGTGCACACTCAACCTCATGTGATGGGTTGAGGTCCTAACACAGGTGCACTAAAAATGCCCCAGGATTCTCTTCGGTGGATGTTTATAAGGTAAATATGAAAGAAATCAATTTCTTCTTGAAATGTGGGACCCATTCCCAAGATATTTCATTTTGTTTATGCAAATATTCCAAACTCCAAGTGCTCCTGCCCTTCCAGGCATTCAGAGGAGCCTGGGCAGCAGGGCCGGGGTGACTATGGGGTGCCGCCCTCCCCGGTCTCCCGAGGCTGGAGAGAAGCACTCACTTTCACTGCCACCGGAACGAGGCTGTGTGGCCTACCCCGGGCGGTGGTGGAGAGCAGCAGCTGCTCTAGCAGGGCCTGGTCCGAGAGGTTCCAGGGGGGCCTCTGCTCCTTCCTGAGGGCCCCAAAGCACGATCGCAGTGCCTCGGCAGCCCCAGCTCCGGAGGCCTCACCCCTGCCCAGTGCTTCGCTGTGCTCCAGGAGAGCGGGGCTGGCAAACGCCTTGTACACTTGGGCCACGCAGCCAGAGCCCACCGGCTCACGGGTCTCAAAGAAGAGGACGCGTTCCCAGTCATCCCCGAACGCCTGGCGGAGGAAGCGCTCCGTGTGCGCCCACGGGTGCGGGGCTACGCGGACGTGCAGCCTGGAGAAGTGGGCGCAGAAGGCCTCGGAGAAGAGGTCGCGCCGGGTGCTGGCCCACTGGCCCAGCTTGATGCACGTGGGGCCCGCGGCCTCAG